TTGCATCGCTAAATAAACGCAGATTTCTAGCTAGGTGTAGCACCATATTGCCCTTATTGTCTGCAATTCAGAACGAGGCAACAAAACTGCCAGTGATGTGAAGCGGCTCGATAACATTGTAAACAAGCAGGGTTGCGAACACACTTCTTTTAATCCAATTGAAATTTTGTTCTTAGTCAAACCATACAGTATTAAATGCATCTTAACTTAAGTTTTGAATATAATGATGACAAAAAGGATTGCTTAAATCGTGGGGATAGATTTCTATGAAGCACTGATATCCTCTCACTGTGTTTTTTCATCGGTTGCTTTCTATTGGCAAAAATGGTACTGTAGGTGTGAAACCTGGTTTGAGCACAAGTTTTGGTGCAGTATGTTACACAGAAATATTTTTCATATTACGACCTGTCAGGCTTTATCATCATGTAAACTCTAAAGCAAAGAAAATATCAATATTACTTATCCCTAATAAGTAATATTTGAAAAACAATCTTTTTCTGTTGCAATAATGCACATGCTTCAGAACGAGTGAATTTTGCTACTTTTTGAAGCCGACATACAAGATGATCAGTTTTAGATACTTGAACTAGACTGCAGATTTGAATGAGTGCAATTGAATTGAATTCAACATATCAACTTTGAGGCAGTTTTGCAAACAAATACTACTTAATAGTTTTCTTATACTGTAGGTAACTCAGAATATAAAACATCTATAAATTAAAACACACCTTGATGGCTAATTCTACCAATTTGAAAGAAAAAAATAGAAGGATGATGACAGAGATGTGACACAGTTGTTTTTGATTACTTAGGAGATATAGTTCACTCACTATATGGCTTACTTTTATTAAACTATTACAGCAGTCAAACATGTCTGCACTGATCATACTGTATGCAGACGAGACTATTCAGCAATTAAATGGGGTCATAATATTGCATTGTTCTCATTCCTGCAGTGTACTATCTTACACCCATCCGTGTTTTTGTAAAGAGTTTATTTTGTGATTGCATCACGATTTACAGCATATAAATATTCTGCATGTTAGTAATGTTTCTGTTTTCCTTGTGGGCCTTCGTGACCTGCTACATCAGCATGAAACCCACTGTCATGACTGAGAGTCAGGTACTCTGTCTTTCTATTGGAAGAAAAAACAAACGAAAGACAAACCGGTGTTCAAAGGCCTTTCCTCATTTTCTTTTTCAGTTTTGTAAGTAAAAATGATGTTTTTGGCACCAATCGCTGACTACTACTGAGACTCATAAGGAGGAAAAGCAGATTTGTTCTGGCTCTTGTGGCTGCATTTACATTGCTAATTCGCTTGAAATTATATCACTACATTTCTCAAAATGATAACCAAGTTTACAAAGTATAAAGTTAACTGTTCTTTCTTCCTTAACACACAAGAATTATTCTTAGATTATGTGCTTTATTTGACATTATTAGCAAGAACCTGAAATGTATTGTGCAACCAGATCTCTGCAGTTCAAATGTTTAACAAACGTCTAGGAATAAATGACCTGAATTGTGGATTAAGCCATCAGCACTCGTCCTGCGCTTGGTAATGGGTGGAGTGAAAGCAGCATGCAAGTTTGGGCCAGCAGGAGATCGATTCCTGCTGTTGTGTTTCAGGTGAATCGCAGTCCTCCAAATTAGTCTCTGGCTCCGGTTCACCAGTTTCCACGCTGTCTGTTCCCGGAGCTAAAAATGAAATATTTGTGTGGTTATGTGTGAAGCGCCGAGGAACCTTTCTGCTGTGGCCTTCATTAGCTACACCTCTGGGTGTTCTGACTTGCAGTGCATCTCAAACAAGGACAAACAAAATATCACAGTCACTCATGAGGCAGTAATAATACACAATGCAGATGATAGAAAGGTTGGTAAGACGTTGGTCTTGATCTTTTGCAATATTATGAAATGCCCACAAAGGGTAATTAACCTTTAACTAAACATTGTCTCAGTAAAAAGCATTGAGTCGTATAAAGTAAAGGGCTCAAATTTTCCTGTCATGTACTGTACTTTCTGCCTGATCTTTAAAAAATAAAGCGAACAATCCACAATTATTCTCTTGGGTTGTCTTGAGAACTATATGCTCTTATAACTTATAGGACAACCCCTTTGCTTCATTTTCATTTTCTGTTTCTTGTCTAATTGAAAACAAATCAGACCAATGTTCCAAAACTCTTACCTTTATTTTATTTTGGTAAAACTAACATTTGTCAAAACACAATAGTCCCTTTCAACTACATTAAAGAAAAAGGCAATTTTTTATGCTTTTAAAAGTGTTCTTTATTATTAAAGTTTTGTTATTCTAAAACATTTTGAACAAAGTTCAGCGTTGGGAAATGTAAAATTAAAACAAAGTTTGAATAATTGTATATAGTTCCCATGATAACCAATTTTTGCTAATAATGCATTATTACAGTATGAAAGTTGTCATTTTTATTGTCTGATTTATGACAATATTTTCATGTATCTTTTTTTAACATTTAATGCCTCTCCATAAATTTCCCTAAGTAAAACTTAAGACATAAGTCATTTACCCAGTACATGGCTATGAATTGCTATTAAACCGTATTTCAGAAATTAGTCTTTTCAAAAAGCAATTAATACACACTGACTTATCCAAAACAGGCAGGCGACAAAGATAAAATGGTTTAGGGCAAATTAAAAATGTCAATTAAAATGTATGACTCTTTCACGGGACTTTCATTCTTTCTTAATTAAGTCTTTTGCATCCCATTTTTCATTAAAAAGTGTGTTTTGAACTTCACTTTTTTTAAAATAAAGTGGGGCTTGAGAAATGGTAGATATCATAAAGGCTTGATAATGAAAAAACAAGTTTCATAGCCTGAAGTATTTGCTTTTTCATATAATTCTGCACAGCTCACATTTCTAGTAAGATCCCTATGCAGTACTTGAAAAAACCAGACTCTAGCCAATTACAGTTCTCATTTATTACTGTTAAAATCTAATGTATACATTAATAATGTATTGCTCTCTGATAAAAGAAACATTGGGAGAAAATCTTGACGATTGCTATTTTTTAATTCAAGAATCAAAACAAAGTTTTGTCTACACAATGAAGTCTTTGCAATAAAAAAACAATTTTGTCTAGTACCATTACTTAATAAAATAATACTAATGCCTGTATAGACTTACAGTATATATAGATTATACAGAAGTATATACATTTACTTAAGATTCAATGTTAAGAAATGTTGAGTACAGTACTGTCTGTACAGGTGCTTCACAGAGCTTGCTCTCCCATTGTCATATTCAGGCAGAAAACATTGGATTACTGCTTTTTTTGTAAATATCTCCCTGAGGTTACAAAAGAAGACTGCTTCCCTAACCATTACACCATGTCTCTGTGGAGCTGTTCCCAACTTTATTATTACTGTCTTGATCCAAGGTGACTCACACTAAAAACAATTGTGCAAAGGTCACTTGAAAAAAGCGCTATGGTAAAAAAAGTTACAGATGCATTTTATAAGGAGGTGAAAGGGTACAACATAAAAACACCTGCACTGGAAATGTGTGCTAAAACTGAAGAATCAGATCACAAGTGCTCGAGATCAGATTTTCCTTCAGGGGTGTCAGGAAGTTGTACTGTTGTGGGAACAAGTCATATTGCCCTGCAACTCACAACTGGCAACCCACTGAAGCCACTTGGTGTGAGCCGGGCCAGTGATGCGTGGGTTGGCTTTTTTTTCACCCACACCCGCCCGCGGATGCGAGAAACGAACCTGCACTCGCCTGACCCGCTCTGAAATCTTTTTGTTTGACTCTTGTCCGCCCGGCCCGCGGGTGTGAGTCAACCCGACCATCACTACTGGCCAGTACCAGTAAGGTTGCTGCTGGACGTGGTGTTAGTGGGACCAGTAGGGGGCGCTCACCCTACTGTCTGTCCTACAGGAGGGGCGTACTATACTTTAAAAAGGCTCCATCCTTCAGATGAGACTTAAAACTGAGACCCTGACTCTCTTTTGTCATTAAAAATTCCAGGGCATTTCTTGAAAAGAAATATTACCCTAGTGTTGTGGCCAGATTTTGCCCAGGCCTCCTAATAATCCCCATCTCTAAATTGACTTCATCACTCTGTTCTCCTCCCCACTGCCATAACATCATCCAGGTGGGGCTGCACATTGGTGTTGGTGGAGGGGAGTCACCATTACCTGTAAAGTGCTTTGAGTGGAGTGTCCAGAAAAGTGCTGTACAAGTGTATGGAATTATTATTGTTAAGTCTATATAGTACTATATTGTATGAACGGTTATTACCTCCAATCCCCATATACAATATATGGTACAGGGTTGGATTGGATAACCTCCAGTAGGTTGGCCAGCTCTAGTTGAACATGATCTAGAAGGACTGTGGGAGAGATGATGTCCATGTGATGTTTCTCCTGGAAGCAGTCAGAAATAATGCAGTGCCCAAATTATTTACTCTTCAGTAGATCCAGTAGAAGCTGCACACATCCCATTCTCTCAGGAATAAAGACAAAAATAATCACCAGCATAATTGTGCAGAATGCACCTCAGTCACCATTTCAAAGGAAAAGTTCTCCAAATGTGGATCACAATGAGGGAAAAAAAGAGGACCAGACGAGAGACCCGAATGTGAGAGGATTTGCAGCAAAAGGATTAACAGTAGACAAACATTTGCAGAGATCCCTGAAATCCCCTTAAGTATAGGAACAGCATGCACATAAGCCAAATGCTAAACATTACTTGCTCCCTATTGATCATACAAATCATATAACCTTATCACTTTCAGGAATTCTTAAATGTAGTTAAAATGTTTTATTTTATTTATTTTAAATTTTGCTTTAAATACTTTGCTTTGGAGTGGTGCCAGCCCTTCAAATTACTTTTTTATGAGAGATAGCATAACACGCTAAACCAAACAGACCGGGAGATGGGATGCTTGTTTTATAATAAAAGGCTTTTATTTGGACTGTATTTTCCGTTTATAGTGGAACATTATGGATCCCCTCGGGCCGATACAGCCGTCTTCCTGAGACGATGTTGTAAAATCTCCCACTGGTTCCCACATCGTCGCTCAGGTACAATGATTTCCCGCTACAGGCCCAGGCTGAAATTAAATGGAAAGCTTTACAATGGGAGGAGGCAGTGTAAATGGATTTCTACTGTTGCTGTAGTAGAAAGGGCAATTCAGTGCACGTTGTACAAAGCGTTTATTATACCAGTCGGCCCAAAGAAACAAACACTAAGCTGTTTGCCGATGATGCTATTATTTTTTTAAAAGTCTGCAAATTTTAAAGGCTCGGTTAGCCATATATTCTCACACAGGGCGTGTTATGAGACACAAAGGACCTGTACATTCACGGAGTTCCTTATTGCACATTCTCAAGACTCCCCCGGTCAGATTTTCCCTATACGTCCTACAGTATCTAGCATTATGCTTCTTAAAGCCAGTTCATTTCTATTGCTCTCCTCACTATATCACTCATTACTAACTAGTTTAATTTTCAGACTTTATCATGCCACTCTGGCATGTCATTTGTATGTCATGTATATTTTCAGAGTAAATGCATGTTATTTATTTTGAATAAATATTTTAAAAAACAAGTTTCTAGCAAAAAATGATAATGACTACTGCTGTGCAGAGGGTGCCTGCAGTGTTTGCATACTGTCCATCCTGGTCTTTGCAGTATAAACCATTAATCTGGATGAGGAAGAGAAAGCCATTGCCAATATTTCTTGTTTTCTTCTCCTCCTAAATTAGAAAGCCACAGTGGATAACATGAGTCAATAAGCTTGGATGGTGAGCAGTGAGCCATCTGATAATAAGAAAACTATCAGTGATTAGAGGCATCTGAAAAATGAGCCTAGCACATCGCTGCATTATCTCAACTTTAAAAACGCGGCACATTTCTCCTCCAATCCTTCCCAAGTGCGTATTCATTTAAATATATCAGTATTTAGCTCCTGTCTTCTGCTTGTTATCTTTCTGGGAGCTGCTATTTCGTGCAGCAAATGGCAAAACCAGAGGCTTGCACTTCAATGCTAGGAATCTTACAAACAATCAATACTATATTGACATTTTGGTGCAGTGCTTAACAGTTATTATTATTATTATTATTATTATTTCTTCTACAGGTCTGAATTAAACTGTTTCACATTTTCCATTTTTTTTCCAATCGTCTGATCTCTGGTCTAACCTGTAAAGTTACACTAACAGATTCTTAGATATTTTTAAGCTGAAATGTGCCTTGGGTAGAGTGCCAAAAGTTAATTTGAACGATGGTGGCATTGACGAATGGAACCTTTAATTCCTTGGACTGAAAGCAAGAGTGCCGAGAATCCAGTGTTTTCAGGGATGCTGTGTGATATTACAGATGAGGCACTTACAACACAATCTGCTACGAATCTCTCTGATGAGGAGTCTGACACTTTGTGTTGATTCTATAAAAGGAACGACAGTGCAGTTAGGTTTTGTTGAGGCAGACTGCAATCTGGAAATATACAATCTCTTCTGTGTGCAAAAGATCTCAAAATACTCACCAAGTAATAGCCAGATACATGCCAAATATTTCAGCTAGCTGATTCTTCCTAGAACAATTTGTCAGCCTAGTTCCTTCAAATGTGTAAAATTCTGACTGGAAGTGCATGCAGCAAAAACAGATACATACATACATCTTTTTAAAAGTAAAATGATGCCTTTTTGCTGAACTACTCTATTTGGATTCAGGATCAAAGTGCTTTCCAGTGCAGTATTTCTATTCAGTGAGCATTTCTCCCTTATTAAAACAATTTTATTGAACCTGTAATATCTCAGTTTTTAACATTTCAGTTTTCTCAATTCCAGGAAGAGGTTTTAAAGTCAAATGATAGTGAAATTTAAAGTAGTCAGTGTCCTGTAGATGTAGGTGTCGATACAGTCCTAATACTGTATTAGGATGGTTAACAGTCCTAGTCCTGTACAGTGTTATGTTAATCTCAAATTCCTCCTTGCCTCACCTTTGAAAAATATCCCAGTTTGGATTTGGTGGCAGGGTCCTGTAATCAGATCTCCTTTTGTCTATAAACGAAATAAATAACGCATTGTTACTGTGAGAAAAATGACAATGCGTCATTCATTTTGTTTTATGACAAACACTGTTAAGTAGAAAAAGGGCAATTGTCTCAGATAAACAGACACATGATAAACTGTATCCATTAAAGAAGAAGACAGTGTTTGATCCTCTCTGTCTTAAAGCCTTAACTTAACCATGTCTGATTTAATAATTGTCTGTTGCTCTTTTAATTCGGTTACTAATCACATCTACATTTCAAACTGTTTCCATGCCATCTGTTTAAACTTAGAGCAGCATATGGTTTCCAGTGGTCTCTAAATAATGCTAAGCTGAGCAATTGTGTTCCATCTTACTGCCTGTACTAGAGTTTGCTTTGGCGTCTGCCAGCTTTCCCTATCAATTTTCTGAAACAGGATTCATGAAAAATTTGTGAGGCAGGCTCACCCAAGAGTCTACAGGGGAAGAAAAATAAAACATGAATATTGGGCACAAAATAAGTCATTTAGCTTCAAGTGAATTATCAAAAAGGCCTGGAATTTCACTCGTTCTGAGCCACAATACTTTTGTAGGACAGGCTACAATATATAGACTTGTGGGACTGAATGGCAGGTAGATTTGGTTGTTATAACTCAGTCGTAAATTCAGCAGGGCTGTATTTCTATCCATGGAGCTGATGACGGCTCTCTCAAGGCACCTAATGTGGTAGGACATAGTGTGGATCCATCAAGCATGGCTTCAAGTGCCTGTTACAGACACTGCTATTGTACGTTTGAGAAAGGCCCAGTACTCCGGGGCTCTAATCCACCCAGCTGTATCAGGGAGTGCCTGCAGTGCTCGTGTAATTTTTGATGGATGGGTGTCCCATCCAGGGGTGGGATTAACACTCTATTTGCTTAACACTACAGAAGCCTCCACAAGCTCTGCTTTCCTGAACCTTGATGGTTGAAAATCTCCCTTTGCCAAGGTAGAATTGAGAGTCGTACAACAGTGCTCCTTCCAGATTTAAACATGATCGCTGTAAACGGAGTGCCCTATTCCCCCATACTCTCCCGCATGTCAATCACAGAAGATTTTGCAAGCCTTCTGGACTGCTCCTCATCGGTAAGGAAAATCAGGTTGTTGCTGAAGGTCGTGTTGGGAGTCTTCCCTCTGGACCAGAATTTCCAATTCCATGCCTCTAGATAGTGAACAGGGACACTGCACTGTAGGATGTGCCACACATTATTTTAGATGAGCTGATATATCTACAGGGATGTCACTGTGAGTGGAGACCTGAAGGCACACTTTGGATTGGAAATCGATTGGGTGTATAATAAAGAAACAATTGACAGCTCTATCCCACACTGCACCTGGTTTTATCCCACCCCATTCCTCAAGTCAGCTGTGTCATAGATTCGGCTGACTGCTTGCCCAGCAAATCTGTTGCCCAAAACCATGAAAAGGCTTAAAGAACATTACATATTCCCCAAATGCTGTCCTAGACTTTTCCTTCACGGTTTAATGGCGTTTAAAAATACAGTAAGTGTTTGCCTTATTAAAGAGCTCTTTCTGAAACCTGTGCTTTCAAATGTTTTTCTTTTGAACTCCCGCCTCCTGCGTTTCAAATTTCTCACTTACGGTTTCTGTGTTAATTTATTTTGGCCTTAATTTAAAGACCTGCTGCTGAGAACATCTCATTGCTTTGTGGGACGCTGGCTCTTCAGTGCAGCATGTCAGTGGGAGAGGACATTAATTTGCAAAACAAAAAGCGTCCTTGTTATTACAAGACGAGGGAAAGAGTAAGCCTGGCTGTACCTTTTGTTAGATGCATTATTAAATACACATTCAAGTACAGTATGTGATAATGTCTATTAAAAATAAATGGATAAAATAACAGTGGAAACACAGTATAAAGATGTTAAAAGTCAAACAGACTGTGAACATAAACAAACAGGCTCTCATATTTTTTTATGTTACTTGCAAGGTGTGAAAGCACAATAATAACGGAAAGATCCAGGGCACATTTGTCAATGCAAACTGACATACTGTACTTTCTGTTAGTATGATGATTAGGATTATTTTGCATGTTTGATGCATGAATACTGTGTTTTCTTGGGTAATGTTTGTATCACAGTTTGTCTCATTATTGTGTCTTTGCTTAGGGTGGTAATTCTGCATTTTCACTTCAGGCTGCAATGGAAGGGACAGCTTTAAAAGTAACCCTGTGTATATGAAGGACATCAGTTAGTTGCATTTTTCCAATTCAATGTTATCTGTTTGATGCTTTGCACACAAAATCCCCCCTTTTGCACATATACTTGAACTGCAGTTGCTAAACTGTTATACAGTACGTTTGTTAACAGAAATGGTAAAGGCCTGAGGCCACAAGGGAAATTGTCCACGGACGTCATACAGTACGTGTTAACATCCTAATACCTTTTGCAAGCTTGATGACGCATTACCATGATCAATTATGCAAACGAACAAAATAAAACGTCATTAGTAGAAATATTATAATAAGTTTATTTAATTATTTTACTGTAAAAGATCTAGTCACCAAAACTTTTTTCCATGTCATGATAGACACAACGCATCACCTGACACAATGCCAAAGAAGTGGATCTGATTCCTTGCCAGACAAATTTAAATTCAATTAAATGCATCACTTAGTTTAAACTTTTAAGTGTAATTGAATTCCTATTAATACTATTTCAAACAAAGACTAATTAAACTTCTGAGTATTTAATATACAAAAGGCTGAGTGAATATTGATTTTGTTTGCAGTGAGGTCTTCTACAGTACATCCTGGTATTGACTACCCTGGGTCAAAGGGTCATGAGAAAGGTTTGCATATATTGATTAAAGGATTTATGAAAGGAAGTCTATGCTATTGTTACACTAAAATCTGCTGTCAGGGGTGTAATCACAGGAGCGACAAAAAATCATTTTAAAATCCCCCCCAACCCCCCCAACATACAAGCCTCACATTCACTACTCCCTGTCTTATAAGCACTATTCTTTTCTCCAGCAATATAGCATGAAAACAGACCCTGTTTTTTAGTTAAAAAAAGATTTTTGTAAAAAAAACTAAAACTTCCATTGTGGATCATCCCCACCAATTTTAGGCATAGATGTCCACAGACAGAAAGTGTAAATGGCAGTATATATTGATTAGCCTGGCTAACCTTTTCAAAATTAATTAAATTAATCCTAGTAATTCCTTCTTAGATTTTCGAGTAACTAGATCTTCCATAGGTGTTCGGTTTCATGCGATCAAAACCCAATAAACTCTACAGTATTTAAATCCATCTTAAATATTTAAGATGACAGCGAAGGCTATATAAAACGACTCGAATCGACAAAGTTTGCTCTTTTGTACACAGTTGCATACCGTCTCACCACTTGGAACAGTCTGTATCTTCTAGCGCCCTCTGGTGGATAAACTTTTTTACAATAATTTTGCAATTGTTTAAACCTAAGGTGTTAAAATTCCGTTAGATTTTTTTCTCGAAGAGGTTTGACTTTTGTTATGGTGTTGGCTTGTATGCAAGTCGTCTATTGTGCCACATTTTTTAATGTTATTTTTAGTGTTCATATTATTATTTACAGGCTGATCAACTGGATAAACAGAGCCTAACTGTGCATACTGTAAGTAGTGCCCTTATTTGAGCTCCTTAGATACAGTATGGTATATTTAAAAAAAATCTTTTAAATGAATAATGGTGCTATTTTTCAAACGGAGCAGTCTCTCCATTATTAATATAAATTAAGCTTCAATATTAAAACTATGATGTACTGACGAAACTGACAAATTGGTTTATACTCTCTTCCCTTTCGTCTTCATTTTCATTGTCTGAGATTAATAAATACAATTTGGAAATGTACCAAACAATTCTGTACAGCAGATGGCCTTGTTGTTGACTTGATGTATTATTGGAACCTCCTTCCTAATTTAACAATATTTTTTTTTTACAGTTTATTTCTTTAATGGAAAAAAGCTTACAGTTAGAATAATGTTTTTTTTTTAATTAAGTTTTGAAAACCAAACATGCATCCATCCATTTACTACCCACTAGACCCAATACAGGTCCCAGCAAGCAACAGGCATGCAGCGGGTACACCTGGACAGGATGCCAGTCTGCCAAAGGCCACAAAGAGACATAAAGTAAACACACACACTCACACCAGGGCCAGTTTTAACAGGATCCAATTATTCCTGCCATTATGCCTTTGGACTGTAGTAAGAAACACACACAAAAACAGGGTGGCATACATACTCCACACAGATAGTACTCCAGGTCCAGAATTGAAACCAGGGCTCCAGCCCTACAAGGCTGCAAGCCTACCCACTGTGCCCCTAAGCCACCTGAAAGCAATTTGATTTTAAAAACTAAACATACTTGAATAAATAGAAATGGCCAGAGCAATCATGTATATTCAGAAATAAATGTTTAGATCTTAATAAGTAATTATTGCAATTTATAAAGTTTCAGAAATCTTTACCTTTGCAAGAAGACTTAAATCACCACGTAAGCTTTTATAAATAAGAAAAGAATGAAAGATCAAACCCTTAAGTAAATTATTACCACAAACAGAACAATGAATGTGCATAAAGGCAAATGCATCTTTCATTACAGGTCTATTTGTTAGAATACTGCTTTTACAGTAATTGCCATTAGCTTTAAATGTATCAAAGTATTTGTCAGACTACTTCATGAAGTACATGTTAAAATGATGAAAATGTGAAGTCATACTTTGACACACTGAAGGGGACTGTTAGAGAAAAGCAGAAGTTTGAAAATCTGGGGTGCTGAAGCTTTGCTAAGCTCAAAAAGTTAAAATAGTGTGGAATGGAAATCGATCAACACAGATTGTTGTGCCTCGATCAACAAAGTAAAGAGATTTGAATTTCCCCTGACAGGACAGAAAAAGACCAAGTAAGGAGTTTGAAAAATGTGTAGCAATTCATTCCTCTTAAAGTGTGGCACTGTAAAGCATTATTCTCCTGTTGCCTTTATAGAAAGAAAACATTCAGTGCTTCTGCAAAACATAAATATGTATCATAGTAAGGGGCTCTCAAGTAGAAGTACAGTAGGTATTTTTTTGACGAGATCAAAACTTGCCCAAATCTGTGGCAATAGCTGTCATGATCATAACCCCTCCTCTTCAGGGCGCTCCGGCTCTTTCATATTGTAGTTGATAATGTGCACCTGCCCCCTGTTCTACCCCTCCTTTTTTAAGCCTGGCGCTCTCACTATTCCGGTCTCAGCACTGGGAGATGGACACCCGGAAGCTCGCCTACCAGCGGGTCCAGCAGAGACCTGACGACACAGGCTTCATCACGGCGTCCTGACCGTCTGAGTCCAGGGCTCGGAGCGCCTGGCCTTGTCAATCTGTTTTTATTCCCTGTCCCTGTACCGGATACCGTTCCGGTTTTTAACCATGTTTTGTCTCGTCTTTAATGGATCACCCGGTTTTGGACTTCGGACTTCGCCCTGGACTCCTCCCTGGACTCTTTGGACTCGTTTGCCTTGGCCACCCCCCGCACCAGATCACCGTCGTCACTCCCCCCTGTCTGTCAACCCATCCCGATCCTCGTCGTCTCCTCACTGTCGTCCTTCTCCACTTACTTCCAGGTTATACCATATGCATAGGGTCCTGAACTACGCTTCATGAAGTAGTGTGATTGATTCACTTTATCCTTTGGTGCTCAGCATTAATACTAAGTTCACTGAGTGGAGTCAAAGAAACTCGAATATACAGTACAAAGTGCTGAAAAAAACATGGATTTTTTTTGTTACTGGTGCTGCCACTACTTTGGTATTTTTTTAATCAATTTGGTAAATAACTGTTTAGAACATGATTCTATACAGTAGAACAAGTTGGTATATTTCAAATGGCCTTTCAGAAAGAAGCCCTGAATTAAAATTACTGTTGAAATAATAAGCCAGTGACCTTTGGGCATTCAACTCAACCCTACAGCACATTCTTAAGGAAGTTCAAGTCTTGATTGAGAGTGTATGCTTACTTATTACTTTCTAAGTCTCTTCTATGCCTTTCTGGATTTATAGCCTGACCTCTTGCTTGCAATATTTTATGTGCCAGTTGTTCATTAGCTCAGTAGTTGTTCTCAAGGTGATCCAGAAGTTCCTTCAGAAAAAATACTATCAGCTTGGCTGTAACTGCCCTAGCATTAATTTAATTAGTTTTCAGGTCTTCACACAGGGATTGATAAAGTTAGGCATCTAATGGAGGCTGCCCTTTCTAAGTAATGTTGGAAAAGCTAACCTCAAAGTAGCTACAGTTCTAAATCCACTTGGAACTTCTTTTTCCCTCTTTTGCCTTGTATTACAGTAATTTAAATGCACATCACAGACATTATTCTGCATTATAATAATAATTCCTTACACTTACTGTATATAGCACTTTTCTGAACACTCCATTCAGCAGTTCACAGGTAATGGGGATCCTCACCACCACCACCCATGTGCAGCCCCACCTGGATGATATGGCGGCAGCCATAATGCACATGTACTCTCCCCACACACCAGCTCTCAGTGGGGAGGAGAGCAGAGTGATTAAGCCAGTTCAGAGATGAGGATTATCAGGAGGCCATGATTGGTAAAGGCCAGAACAAAATTTGACCAGGACACCGGGGTAAACCCTTACTCTTTTCAAGAAATGCCTTGGGATTTTTAATTTTTAATGACCACAGAAAGTCATGACCTAAGGTTTATGTCTCATTCAAAGGACAACGCCTTTTTACAGTATAGTGTCCCTGTCACTATACTGGGGCTTTAGAACCCACATAGACCGCAAGGTGAGTGTCCTCTATTGGTCCCACTAACACCTCTTCCAGCAGCAACCTTAGCTTTCCCAGGAGGTCTCTCATCCAGTTACTGACCAGGCTCACACCTGCTGAGCTTCAGTGGGTTGCCAGTTGTGAGTAGCCGAGTGATATAGTGCTGTCTGAGCTACTTGCTTTAAACATTTTTAAATAAGAGCATCTAAGCACAAGCTCTACCTTTTAAAAATTGCTTTCTTAATGTACAAACTCAAAACTGTTTGCTATCCATAATGCACACCTACAGTATAAGTGTGACACCAGTAGCTACACACTATCTGAGAGTGCGTGAAAGTTTCAATAGTAGTTTTTGAATGAAAGTCTCATATAGTCCATCAGATGAGTACAGTAGCTGTAATAAAAGTGCAATATTTGGACTTCGATTTCATCAGGGAAAAGGCCACCAGACTGAGGTACTGTACAGTATGTGATCCCTAAGTAAACCTTATCCCTTAGTGCAAAGGACAACAGAAATCTTTTGACCTAGTTTTCAGCCCCAAGTCAAGAAAGAATATCCATGTCAAGTCCACTACTTTATTGCTAAAGTACTACTGTCAGTTCTCCAATTTCCACTTCAAGAAAAGAGGAGGGAGAAAAACATGATTTGTTACATCTTGAAATTGTCACCAGCTGATTATACAGTACCAATTTGTACAGGTGGTCACAGAATATTTTTGGATGGAAGCCTCTCTCTTGGACATTTTGGTTTTCTGTAGATCTGGGAAGTGCCCTGCTGTGTTATGCTTCACCTGTGAGGACCCCTGACCCAGTCTGAGCTTAATCGCATTCGCTACACTCCTCACACGTGGCAGGTCTCTGCCCTCCCCTGCAGTTCGCAGTTCACCTTGGTCATGCAATTTTTGCCGTTGTGTCCATAAGAAATGCAAACTTAACATATGAAACACTGTAAATGCAAACGCTGTGAAGCCAAACTGAAGAAGAGCAGGGTCAAGACTTTTTTTTTTTTCAGGCACCCTGCCTGCATCACATAAAGAAGGTACTGTAGGCAGGTTATACTATCTGAGCCACAGTCAATGGCTCTGGTTTCTAGGAGTGGAAAGATTAGAGAGCACATAACCCCGCTTCCCTGCTTGGTACACCAGTCACAGCTTCAGAACACTTTGCCACAGCTGCTTCTTCTTGTACTAGAGGAGGGCTTGTCTTGTAGCTAAGGAAGCTACATTAAGAGGACTGATTTTTTAGATTGGCAGTGCTGCATTATGGAGATGTTTTGGATCATCCAGTTATGCTACTATAACATAATACTATAGGTCCTGACCTGCACTTTGGTATAGTCTATGTGTGCTTTTTCTTTCACACTAGATTTCCCTTTTAAGATCTTTTGGACCAGGTGGCAGGTGAGATTTCACATTCTGTGTACCACTTCTACTGCAGAAAACCAAGCACTATCGACTTGATTAGCACATCATCCGTTTCCTATTATGTATACCCTTCGTCACGTCCATTTCCAGTCGGGAGCACAGGCCTAGTGAAACTCAATTTATCTATCTGATGTGGTTCACAGACTACACTAGAGATATTAGAGTTTTTCTTTCACCTAGCAGTCAAATCTTACCCTCGGATCCGTTCTTTTGAAGCTCTTTGGGGAATCTGAGGAGTTCTCTGTGCTCAAAGAAACCATATTGAACCTGCCTTCGATAAAACTAAAGGGTCTGTGCTCACATCTCTGTATCAGTGTCATTACATTATTCTGACTTCAGAGGTTAGGGACAATTAGGAAATTTTTCTACTTTTCCTTTATCTTTCCTCATCAATTATATACTGTAAATCATATTTGATTAATCCGATATCTATTTCAATTGAAAATGGTGTTCCTTGGACCTTATAAATATTAACTACAGTATCTTTGCCGTCAAGACAATTCATGTTTACTGTACATTGCATGCTTGCCTTGCTTCAGTGTACCATATTTTCGCTCTGTCATACTTTTTCATATTGTTTTTCTGTGCACCACTAAAGCTACAAAATCCCCAAAGATGTGCTTGGACTTTGAACTACTTCGGAGATACAGATTACTGAGCAGCTGCGAGCAAAGCATGAATGAATATGAGAGAGGTGAGGGGAGAAGTCAGGGAGTGTTACCGTGTTAGCGGTGTGGCATATTTTCCATGCATTAGGTACAGTACATTGACAGTAATGGCCTTGTCTATTGGAGCTGCTCTGCACCGCCCCTGAAGCTGACTTGATAAAACGATTGCAAATGAAAGAAATGAAATATAAAATGGAAAAGTCAGTGGGCTTTACAGGTGGCACTTGAGGCCACAATCCCCCCGTAGTGAAAGCAGACTGTACCAGACAAGGAAACAGCAGCAGGGATTGGAATAGGAGGTCATATTTATAGAGAGCCTGAGCTCATTTATTTGACAGATGGGTGGAAAGACATTAGCTCAAAAGATACAACTTGCTCACTGCACAGGTAAGTTCAGTCATCTTCTCCTTAAATAAAATTACCACTGCAACTGCAATTAGTTTTTGGGATTGCACTGGTACCGCAATTAGTACCAATACAATGTCAGCAAACCAAATTTTGGGGGTACTGTATCTACAACTAATTGAAAATTCATTTTCCTGGTTAAAAAAGTGTTCATACACTGTATCTCCCTATAAGTCCATACTGTGCTCATTATAGAGTATACAGTAGATATATCAGTATACGTTTTGTGACAGAGGGTGGAGAAGATTAGGGTAGGAATAATCAAGGATTGCAAATATCACAGGATAAACAGATAAAATATATCTATATCTCTTTTTAATCGTGAATCTGAAATATATGAAATAGACTATGAACTGTGATTCTGCTAACGGTTCACAATGAAAATTATGGAAGTGTTATTTAAAGAGGTCAAACTTCTTCGTATGTACTGTACTGTATGTAGCTAATTTGTCAGTCTAACTATAAATTAGCTGTCATGGAAGTGCCGGATTCAGTGTCTTTGAAGGTGACTTGTAGGCATTAAATGGCTACTACACATTTTTTTAAATGCCTTGAGACACTTAAATACTATAGGATGCAAAGAAATCATATACTGCTGCTTCATCTAATTAAAATAACATGTAGTTTCTTAATATATACTCTACATGCTGTGAGGATGTTAAAGTGATTTGATTATTGAAATTAATCAGTTTCTCTTTTTTTCCCTTTTGGTGGATTTATTTCCTCTCTGTTTCAAAGAGAGAAATGCTAATGACACTGCGCTGCAGTTTGCTGTGAGTCAGACCATCCCCCACGTGGCAAAAACTTCACTCTGTCTCGTGTTTGGGAGTGCGTCATGACAAGTTCAAAGACTCCCCATCTACGTCTCTCTGAATCCCTGCAAGAGTTCTTAAATAATGTAAGAATTTCAATTAAATGTTTCAGACAAGATGTTAGGTGTGTACACGTGTGTGGGAGTGCTTGCTCTAATATCTTCACTAAGGAAGAGTATAATAATGTAACTGATAATGATACTGGGGCCTAAAGTTACTGTATTATTTGATTTTTAATCACCCAGAATCGCTAGAATCCCTTTGTTGATTAACTCAGTTCACTGCTACAGGCCTTCCTTATAGTACAGAAGAAATGAGGACTGTTTTTCTCCATCTCAATCACAGCCAGCTCCACAATGGACTTCGGTGCTGAAGGGACACGCAGTGAAGGATTACTTCTCTTATCAGTGACAACCCAAGCGCAGGGGAGACAAATCCCACAAGTCCAGGCTGCACCAGAAGAAGTAAGAGAAGGACAGTAAGGACTGCCTGTGTGGAAGAGTTACTGTACAGTATATGAAGAGTCTCAGGGAGTGAGACTGAGGTTAGAGTTGTTTGTGTTGAGGCCCCTAAACGCCTCAGCTGCCTGTTTGGGCAGATTGGGACTGAAGAGGTCTAGTCCGCAGCTCCAAAAAGAGCTAATTTTGCTTTGTTTGGTGTTTTTTGTTTTCCTGCACCCTGTAAATAAAAGAGCACTTACTTTTCACCTTACAGTATACCTGCTTTACCTTGACCTGCCTATCAAAGTTCCTATTTTATGACACCCTGTACCAGTGTGTGTAACACACGGTACACTTGGCTGATTCAAGAGACCCAGATCCCAGTGACTGTAGGAAAATAGCATACAGCCAGTGTAAGAGCCCTGATCTTGACCATTGATATAGTCCAGACTTGGTCCTCTTACTACAAGGCTCAACATACACTCTGAGCAAACATCTTTACAGATTGAACCCCTTGGGAGTGCCCTAATTATGTTTTCTAATGGCGAAAAGGAGTATTATTTTACAAATACTCAAGTATTTATTGAGCAACCTGCTTTCTTTTTTACTCTCTTTCAGTTAGTTACCTCATTCTCCAGGCAAGAGAAGAGTCTGTGGTTGCTATCATTTTTGTTTTCTAGATCACTCTGGGAGCAATGGGACTTCTTGATTATTCAGGAAATGTTCTGTTCTGTCTGACTGCAGCACATTCCTGGTTCAGTCCAAGTCAGAAAACCCCAGGAACTGGGCTTACAGATATGCTGCCGGAAGGATGGCCCACACATTATGAATCTATCATAATCTGGTGATTGACTGGGTCAGAGTTCTGCAACCCAGTCAGAGGTCAGGATATGGAAAGGGATATCATCACATAAAATAACTGAAATAACTGTGTCAGATAACTGAAAACCATTTGTGTGATCAAAAATATTCTAACTGAGACAGCTTGCACTGTTACAGATTTTTAGAATAATTTTGATAACCCCTCTGCACTCCTGTGAGAATGCATGTATATGCATGTATACTTCATTGTATATGAAGTATAGCTTAAATAAAGCCAGTGCTTTCTTTGCTGTACACAGTATATATCTGTGGCTTCATCAGGGGTTCTCTATGTCCTCAGTTCAATTCCAAACAGTAGCACCTGTCTCTGTGGGCTTTGCATGTTCTCCTCATGTTCAGGGGAGTTTTCTGAGATCTCTTAATTGTCCCTGTTTGTGTGTATGCATTTGTGCACTTCGCAATGAACTGGACTCTGCATCCACATAAGCAGATTGCTGGTAACTGACAGATTAATTTGTGCTCATTTTATGTTCAGTTTTGAAGCATAGAATTTCTCAGCTCTCGATTTGCTGCTGTCAGAGTGTTGTGTGACAAAAGCAGTGATAAGAAACCCCACCTACTGGTGCCAAAACAGTAATAATTCTTTTAGAAGATGATCTCGTGTAAGACATTTGTGCTAACCAGCTGCCACCATCTAGCATGTCCAAAACCAAGCAGATATTCATTTGCATATGAACAGAAAGCAGAGTTTTGAAATGGTCAGACCTGTTTTCATCTCTGTTTGCAAGTGCCCCGATGTTACAAGCTCTTTCATGCATGACATAGGCCCCTGTATGTGTGAATTATTATCTAGATCATTTTGACAGCCATGTTTAATTCATTCTTGTTTGGCAGGTGTGCATCCTCTCCCAAATAAAACCTTAGTTTGTGCGGGTTGCAATTCCATCTGTAGGCCATCTGTTATTTTTACATTTTCCTCATATTTTCTTATATAGAATTTTTTCTTGTGCATTATCTGAAATGGTTTTTGGGGGGGTGCAGAGAGGGTAACACATATAGAAGATACTCCGTTCAAACGGTTCCCTCGATCTGGTCCCTTCAGGGCATGATTAACAGTGTGATCTGTTCTAACATATAGGCAGTGAATAACTCATCTTATTACCATTGCCTGTAACAATATGACAATGATGAATCATTTCAATGGATATTTGGTATATCGCTTTTGTTAGGGAGTGCAAATCATAACCTAAACTTAAGAAAGGCATCCGTGGAGGGTATGTAGTAAGCAATATGATACTGTATAGAGTGTTAATGCCACCAGAGCTGGGTGGCTATAAACTACAGAGGAAAGCTGAGTATTCTGTTGAAAATACAGTGGGTGTTGGATTTCTTTCCTTCTTGCTAGAATATGTTCATATGTTGCTGGACAACAAGCATGAGTAAAAGGATGCTTAAGCGCATGCCTTTTTTTCTTTTCTCATCATTATCTAATTGCATTTTCTCTCTCCATACTACACTACAGTATGTAATGAACGTCTGATAAGCTTGTTTTGGATACAGCTGTTCTGTTTTTGTTATGCACTACAGTAGGTGCTTTTCCTTACTCTTTTTGGCAGGGAAAGCAAAATACATTGCTCCTCTATCAGCTACCCAAGTGGACATCAATTAAGAATTAAGAAGACCATTAGTCTTGATTTAGACCTCCTTTACACAGTGAACACCTCTTTAAATGGCTTTTTATGAGTCATATTACTGTAGTCAATCGTATGATCATAATGAATTAAAAGAGTTATAAGCTATAGAGCATGTACAATAGTACCAAAAAATCTGCAAACCTGCCAAGAAAACTACTATAAAGATGCAAAGGGTTAAAAAGATATGGATTTTGCTCTCAAACACACCACAGAGTTAATTTTAGTTTATTTCTGCTAAGGGCATCTGATTTTCAACAGGCTACCTTGTAAATTAATCTTTCACTTTCATTCCGGGAATGCCTCTGAATTTTCTTGAGGACAAAGTGCTCTATATTGCACATAATGCAATATTACTAGGGATAAACCTATGACTTTGGGCTTAAGAGACTACTATTGCAAGTCCTAGTGGAGCAGAAAACGAGTTCCTAGACCACTGAATAAAAGCACCGCTGGATATTCATCAATTCTCCTCCTCCATGTCTGTTGCTTGATTTTTTTAATCTGCCACAAATCAACGATGATTAGAATGCGATTAGCGGGCATTGAGCGGATTCTGTATTAATTCAGAAGGAGGGTGTTGAGTTAAAAATGAAAGGACGAACACTTTATTTCTCAGAGGCATCCAGATCCCTGCTGCTGTACATTATGGATAGAAATAGACGCTGCCCTCATTCTTACTTAAAGCATGGAGCAAAAGGTCATGGAACAGCAATTGTTCTGCAAGACAATTCCAAACAACGAAAGTACAATACCTCTCATGGCTCAAGTATGTGGCTTAATGAAAAGAAAGCCTTAAGTGCAGCCTTGGGAACTAGGAGAAATCTACAAGTTTAACTTCATCACCAGGCGGTCCCCCAGCAGTATCCTCAGCAACATCGTAGAGAGGAAATCAGAGGTGACTCAACAAAAATATTGACATGGCTGAACTGAAGGAACCTTGGAGAAACTAGTGTTATAATGCAAATGAAAGGAAACTCACTGGAAGGAGAGCTTACAGTACATACTGTGCTTTCGACCATGTCAAACCCAAGTTACAACAGCTGTTTAATTTATAAAGGCTTTGTAGAAAGGAGAATATAGCCTGGCATTCATTATTTTCTTAAATTTAAGCCACTCATTACACAATACAAATCTTTAATATCTAGTGCTACACAGCAATCTACATAAATTACTCTTGTTCTTACCTCCCTTGCCTACCTCCCGAGTCATTTGGTCACACGATAGCAACCACTTTTTTTAGAAGAAAGACCTTCAGGGTAAAGAATTACATGCCAGACTGTAACATGAGACGCATTTAGGAACTTAATTGAAATTTTACACTGAAGAGCAAGTTTTTAACCCTGTTATTACTAAAGCTCTATAAATGGCCCATGTTATAAAAAAAAAAAACTGTAGACTGCAAATTTTAATTTATGAAAAGTCATACATTCTTTATATCCTGTCTATTAGAAATTAGAGCCCAGGAGTTTATATTATTATATAAGGTGCTACTTATTAATCTCCTGAATTACATGTATTTGATTCCCTCTGGCTACCTGGAAGAATACTAACTCTTACTCTAGGGTTGTGCGAGTCTGGATTAAGCTCACCAGGCAAGTTGTTGAAGCTGATACCTTGGCGTCTTTAAAGAAGTGTCTGGATGAGATCCTGGGATCAATTAGCTACTATAAAACAAATGAGCTGGACAGGCTCAATGGTCCCCTCACATTTGTAAACATTTTTATGTTCCATGTGTAAGATTAGAATTCATATTCAATACAACTATCCCTACTGACACAACGGAAATGTAAGGCCATGAGCAGCCATCTGGCTAGGAGATTCCAGTGGGTGCTTGGAAAAATTATTTTTGTTATGCTCCGAGAGAGATCTCTGGTTGTGTAGCCTCTACTGCCTTAATGAGAGGATTTTGAGGAATATTTTAATTTATGAAAAAAAAAAACATTTGGGAGCCGTAGAGTGCTCACTGTTGTCTGAATATGGGGAGGGCAAGCTCCCAGTTTAATTATGCTGACAAGCATACTGTATGTTGCCTTACTAATTGAAGAAAAAGAGGAAGGGAGGACTAAAAATGAGGAGATCTTTAGTCTGCCCTTGTGAGCAGTCAGACAATGGGAATGCGTGACTTAGTGATGAACAGAAAAGAAATACCTTTACAGAGTCTTACAAATCCCCCAACAGAGCTGAGATTTATTTGTTTTAATTGAAGACAATCTCAGTTCCCTTGCCTCTAACGGGAACTGGTACAGTGATTTTTTTCCCCTTGTTCAATATCTCGAAGAAGAAGGCCGACCATTATTCTGTTCTCTGGGGAACAATTTCAGAGACAAATACAAAGCATTTGTCTTGTTTTGGAAACGCCAATCTGCTGGACTTTGTCTGTTTTCCTGGTGGCAAGACAACAGTGTGGACAGAAAGACATACTGAAGTATTTAATACTCCCAACGGGTCAGCAATTCAACCTCTTACATAAACTGGGGATATGGCAATTTTAATACTTTTGCCTCATTGTAGGGGTATATTTATTTTCAGGTTTTGGTCCTTTTATAAGAGACATTTTTTTTAATGATATGATCGGTATTGTGGTACAGTGGTGAGCATTGCTGCCTTGGAGCACTGGAGCTCTGCGTTCAATCTCAGAGCTGGGATGTTATCTGAGTGGCTTTTGTATGTTCTCCTTGTGTTCTTGTGTTCCTCCCACAGTCAAAAGACAGGCTGGGTTTTGGCTGGAATCAAACTTGTGTGATAGTGCCGACTTCTAACACTAAGCTACCAAAATACTGTACATGCTGGGAGGTTAACTGGCTTCAGGGAAAAACTCTGACTTGAATGGAGTGGTTAGAAAAAGAATGGATGACGATATACAGTACATTTAAGATTTTCTAATCTAAACGGTGTTGCACATTATCTATCGAAGATGTTGGCACGACCGTGGCATCACGCTATACTGTACCATTCTCCAGAGAAAGACTACTTTATTTGCAATTGAAATTCCATACAGAAAGTACTCATGTGATTTTTACTGGTCTTCTTTTTGTGTCTGTCATATCTTTCAGGATTTTGTTTTCTCTGTCTAAACCACTGATTGTGTTTTTTTACAAACCGGTTTCTGAATTAAATTACTTGCACCGCTACATTTATCTTTCGCTCTTGATGAAGCTGATACCCTGAGGAGTAGGGGAGAGAATACAGTACATCGTTTCTATCTAGAAAAAAAAAAATTGCCGAAGTGACTTCGTTATGAAGCAATCCAACAAGAAGTGGGTTTAACGTAAGATGTAAGACTGTTTTGTTTTTTTAAAATGTCTCTTCTGGCTGTTCGGTTTCCAAATGACTTCCAAACTAAGTGTGTTACTGGGCTTAACCTTCTGTGTTAATGTCTGTGCCTTTCCGTTTGCATATCTGTCTTTGTGTGGGGTGGGGGTGTCTTATTATATTACATATTTGACTTTAAAATGACGTCACGTAAGTGTCGGGCTAGGCTGGACTATCAGGTTGTTAGTCGGAGAGAAGCAGAGGCTGCGGTGCGGTATGATAACATTTCACTGTCTCTCCAAATGATAAGTGCTACATTTTTTTTCATTCTCCCTCCGCGTGAGGAATCTCGCCTCCCTAATCTCATTCCCCCCGTCAACCAGTCGCAGAGTTGCGTTTCCTTATATTTTTTCTGATTTGTTTTTATAATCCAACTGCATGCGAAGTGCATCACACTGGCATCCGTGCTGAAACTGAGGATGTATTCTTAATTTTTCTGTTGTATTTTCCTTTTTTTAAAAAAAAAATATCTGATGTCTTGGTCCTGTATTAAAACATTAGCCTGAAACAAATGCGTGATCACTTCCAGAGCTGAAACACACCAGGAATGACGGCGGTTCGTCTTGTGTTTTGCACTCCTTTATCTCTTTCGTGGCTTTTTGGGGGAGACTTCGCGCAGGAGTATATATTGTGCTTTTGAATAAATCGAAAGTTTGATTGATGTGAGAGATTGGGCAGAAGGAAAGGCTTTGAAAAAACTTAGAAGACCACCTGCCCCGGACAGATACCACTGCCTTCTTCAGCTGCGTTCTTTAGAAATCCATCTGAAAGACAAGAAAACAATTGAGCAACTTACGGTTCATGATTTTTCTCCTTTTTGTTATTCCTGGAGATAAACCTTCCTTTTAGGAGTTGTTAAACGCTTCCGACCCTGTGGCAAACCTTCAGAATGATTGCGTTATTAATATCTGGAATAAGGTCCCTCGCTTAATTGTTCAATGTGCATCTGCCGGCATCTGGGGAAAGATTTGTTTATATAAATGGGTGGATACTTGAAGAAGTGATTCGGGATTTATTGTAGAGAAAATGTGGATAAAAAGATTTATTGCGCACAGGTAAGAAATGTTGAATTCACGTTTCTGGTTTAGTACCCGACAGCTACGGGAAGTTATTTAATGTCTCGTTTGCCAGCTGTACGAGACAAACGCGTTTACCTGAAGTGGTGTGCATGTTGCTAGAGCAATGAAATTTGCAAACCTTTAAGGAGAATTCACATTCCGTCGTTCATTTTCCCCCTTTTCAAGCTTGAACTAGTTTGTCGTTTATTCTTATGTGACGTTTTAGACGTCGGTGGTGACAATAAATGTAAGCGTTCCAGTATTCAATGCCTTTTTTTTGTGCAAACATTTTGTTACTCGAATGACTTCGTTTTAATTGGGAAAACAATTAATATTTGCAGCCGTTTTGGAACTTCAAGAAAACAGCCGTAGAAAATGCTTTGTGCACTAGGGGTCGCTGAATTTACACCATAAGAACGAGATGATAATCGCACTTACGTCTGACTGAAAAGGCTTGTACTGATGCAAAGGCGCACGACAGTATTAAAATATATGTTCAAACAGTTATTTTTTATAAAATCGTGAAATGGTATTTTGGCCAAGGAAAATAATTTTAATCACCCACACAGAGGTTTTCCTTATGATTCATCTTAAAAGAATTGTTAAATCAAAGCACGGGGATAATACAAGTAATTGGAAGGTAAATTAAAAGCGTCCCTGTGATAATATTCCTTCAGCTCAGCCGACAAAAAAACAGGTTAATTTAAACTTTGCAGCCTTTTTGTTTGCTTTAACGCTATAAGGTGTCTAAAGGGTGATGGAAGTTATTTATCTCAACGAGGAAAATGGGAATCAAAACGCAATTTCTACTGTACATGTGAATATTACTTAGTGCGCACCGACAGGCGCCTACAGTAGGTTTGCAATTTCAAACGCTGTAATATGTAATAAGTACCAATATGATATAGAATAATATCAGCCTCGGCGCTGGATTAACTGAAAACTGCCATTTTGCGGGCTCTTTTCATAACCCTGATATTTCACATTGTCGGTTCAAAGGCGTCGAGTTGTGAAGAAAGAAGTTTTGAAAACCCCCTTTAAAATCACATCACAATCTCCCCTGGCTGCAGTTCCGTTTAAAAGAATGTAAGTAGATAATTATAACGCGGAGGAAGCGATTGCTTTCGGGACGGAGATTAAGCATTCACATAATTCTTAACAGTTTGTACAAATACGGGAGATGTTTCGAGCAAGATTTTGTCTTCAGCTCTGGATAAATGCATTGCCAAGGTTACGCAACGTAATTGTGGTAGCCAGATAAGGTATATTCTAATATCGTGAAAATAATATGTGAATGGTATCGTTGAATGACCTCAACCCCCAAACCTCAATACTCCATGAAAAACTTGGAATGACGACTACCTGTGAACTATATATGCAGAGATGTCTTTTGAAGCCCGTACTAAATAAAATGTTATCTTTTATGAATCGGCTTCCTAGAGCTAGAATCACAAAACCGTATTGTAATTTTACACTTTAGGTTTTTGTAAATATTTAATTTAGAGGTCGTGTGGTTCGTCGTTTCCACTGGTTTCAGTGTTCAGTTTCGTGACTCAACACAGCCTAATTGAGAAATCTCGCTCGCTTTGAGAAGACAGTTGTAAAAGCTCACTCTTAGGTGCTTAATGCCGTTCTTTTTCACTGAGATGCAGAACTAAAGTACAACCTGTTTTTTTTTACTATTATTCAAGTGCACTTAAAGTATGAATTGGCAGTAGTTGTAAGTCACTATAAATCAGCCAGCGGCTGTGGTTCATTTCACAGCTGTTAAATTTCCTTCACATGAGATGCTAGGCGAGTTCTAGTCTAACATGTGGGTGCTGTTCATTCTGAAGCCTTTTTTTCTCCGTGGAAGTTATCTGGGAACTACTGTGCATCCGCCTGACTTGGTCAGATTCAAACGTGTCAGGAAAACACTTTGCCCAGATACAAAATGACTCTCCCAAGTCGGGCCTTCCTTTTTCAACATGTACAGTACTTGCTTCCAAGGGCTGCTAATTAGTTGTTCTTCTTTAGAAGTCCGTGTTGCAAATCCTGGAACATCTTACAATAATACAGTCAGTAATAATAAACGTCAGCATGGTCATCCAGTATTTTTGTAAAATGCATTTGCCATTTCTTCTGTGTTTATAATATTTAGGTGTAATCAGCAGTCTGAAGGAGAGTTTATTACTACCATCTGTGTGCCTAATGGTTTTGGTGGATAAGATTCTGGACTTCTCGACACAATGTTTTTATCATTAAGTGTTACTTTATCTGCATTAAATGTAGATTGTAAAAATAACATAAATTTCAAGAAAGAAAGTTTATTTTTGTTTTTTTTTTTCCACCAAGGAACACTTATGACCAGAATCCGTAGTTTAAAACGTTCAGCCTTTGTTGTGGGCTGAAATGTTTAAACCTCACCCTGAGGTTATTTTAATAGAATTTTAAACACAGATTATGCAAACAAACAATTCAGCACTTTTGTTCTTCAGTTTTCCTACAACGGGAGCATTTGCTTTCTTTTTATTACTTATTTGATTTCAATTCGGCAGTTTTAATTGATACTGTATATACTGTGCAGTCAGGAATCGCCCATCACTTTGGCTTAGAGCGCTGATCCTGTACCCACACGGCTGACCCATCAGTGGAGCTCCGCAGTTTTTCACGCTCCGCGAGCCGCGCAGAGCTGTTGTGGACTTGCAGCGCCGGTTGGACAAGTGCACAACTCGCAGCCGGCAAGCCTGCAGGGGGCGCTGTATCTGGGGGCGCTGAAAGATCCCTGGCCAGCTCATGTCTACCCAAACCCCGAGCGCGGTCAGACCCGTAATATACAGTACATCACCCCAGTTCACGTTGAGCTCAACAATCCAGACAGGTGGAACAGTTCACAAGCTCAATTATTTGCTTTATTATGCTGAAATATAGGTGAATAGATGCCCACGGAGTCAGTGCTGACCACTAGTGGTAAGATAAGAAAGTACTTATTATATATTCACAAGCGTTAAATCGCATCGTCATACTGTAGTTAAGTACAACAACTAAACTCCTATATCATTTGTTTACATTAGTAATACTGTTCACTGTGTAACTGTTGTATTTCAACATGGGGCCACAGCCACATTTTATTTTTTTAAACCTATACATGTTCAAACAATGAAAAGCTGAGTTACAAAAATATAGTTATTAATATTTTTAAATATGGATATTCATTTAAACACAACCTGCTGTTTAAATAGAGCCCACCCTTTTACCTGGAGAATGCATATTTTTCTTGGCACTTATGTTAATTTGACTGGCTAGCTAAACTTGTTTTTAGCTGTGTTAAGGTTTCAATGAGCTGCATAGCAAAGGCTTTAAATAGAATTTTACCATTTCTGTATGGAGATCTGTATGCCATGTGTTTCTATTAGTTTTACTCCTGTAATATATTGCTACTACCTGCATATATGAAGACTTATTTACTATTAGGGGTTTTTGATGAGATTTAAGGATGATTATAATGAAAGACTGCACAATGATACATTGGTTCTCTTGTTGTTTACAGTGGTGAATATGTTCGTATACCTGTGTTTAATGTGAGTGTTCTTGATTAGATTGATGTAGAACCTTAGAGGTATTGATTTCTATCCGCTTTGGTAACAATTCCTTGAGTACACTGACTGTCTAAGACTGGAGCCATGTATACAGTAAATGTTTTGAAATATATAATGAAATGCCTTGTGACACTTGTCCTTACAGACAAACCATAAAATGAGGTAATGCATCACAAGCAAACTGTAGCTTTGCAAGTTCATTTTGTAGTAAGTCTACCGAATGACAGGGGATTTAAGGTCATTAATTACCTGGTTGTTCAATTTTTTCTCTCTTGAAATCAAACCCAAGAGCTAAGTCTTGCAATGGTCCAGATCCTGACCCAATTCCATACTGTATTACATAACGACATTCTTGCTTGAGTTTCAGGGCTTGCGTAAAAAAAAAAAATGTGATCATTTTCTGCTTTTATGCAGCCTGCATCAGTCCCATACTCCACATGTAAATGAACTTTTTGTTGTGAACAGATGAGATGTGCACTATGAGAATGATTCTAACCCGCGTTTGGCCCTTGTATTTCCTAGCTTAGCTGAAACAGAATGGCCAGGCTTAATTTCCCTTCTTCACTGTGAACAGTGACAGAAAGAGCAATCATACACTGTAAAATGGAAGTCATGTGAGAAATCTTTTTTGCGTCCCTTAAATCCATCATGCTTTAAAAATAGGCAAGATAGCAGTTTGCATAATTTATTTCAAGAGAGACAATTGATAGTGTGACACACTTTTCTCATTGTACACTCCGCTGTTGAGCTATTTGTTTATACGATGTCTGCTTCACATTATGCATTATACTGTACATTGTGTGATTATTATTTTCCAATGAAATGTCAGTGAATATTCATTGTGTCTTTTGTAATCTCTCAGAGGTTATTATATGAGCCTAGACCATCAAAAGAGACTGCTATGTTTTTATGATATGATAAAATCATTTCTTTTATAGAAAATGTTGGATATGTACTAAGTCTAGAAAATAGTATACAGTGTATGCTTTTGCAATGCAAAGTACCTTTTTACAACAGTACCTTATCAAATTTCAAATATACCTTTTTAGATATTAAGTATTTTTTATTATTAGCACTATTTTGACATCTGAAATGGAATGATCACCGTTTTTTTCTAAAAAAACAAATAAACTGTATCTTCATATATAAAAATACAATTCAACATTTTTTTTTTGTTCTGTACTTACCTAAGCACGAGTTGCACTATTTTTATTGGAACCTCATTTAGAAAAAAAATGTTCTACTGTAAGATGGAAGGGGAATTTTTTAATGTTTAGTGATAAAAGTTACAGCTCTAAAAAAGAGAAATATTTTAAATTAACAGTAGTTAGTATTGCATGCATAGGATAATGCATACTCTAGAAAACAGGAGTTTATTTCTCAAAGCTTGAACTGAATGCATGTAAAATGCTTGCACAA